TCCTAGTAAGGCACATGAAAAAAAGTCTGAAATTGGACTGGTAATGGGCATTTACATGAGACAGTAAGTGTTTGGACAGTACAGTCTGCACTGGTAAATACATGTTTTTTTAAATGCTTTTCAAGATTACACTTAGCTGTAGTAGTGTCTTTCTGAACAGAATCTAAATTTAGTTTTCTTTAGAAGTGTGGTCAAATCTCTGAGTACATGATTTCTTTGTTCCTGAGCAGCATCTTGAAATGCTAATAAAGCTATGGTATCATTTGCTTAATGCAGAGTATTTGATCTATGCTTTCTTGATTCCATTATGACTGAGGCAGATGCAAAGAGCTTTCTTGTGCTGAACGTATGTACTAGTTATGGGGAGATTATTTGTCATTGCGATTGCAAGCTGAATGAGCCAATGTCCTATCAGGTGTCTGTCACCAATTTCAGATTTTCTTTATGGAATCCTGCTGGCTGACTGATGATCCTTCTTCAGCTGTGATGAGCTAATCTTTCCCTGACATTGTAATCACAATTCTTGAAAGGTCTGCAGAGCAGTTGCTTGCCTTTGGTTGCTGGTATATCTGACATTGACATATATATCCAGATCAATAAGATCATTCTCCTATCTTAGTTTCATTATAATTCTGGATGGAATTAAGGATGATGATTCCTAGAATATCCCTGCAGGTTTTACTTTGTCATTTGCAACATAACCAATTTTAGTAAAGGATGTGGTTATTTGCAACATCTATGGTCCTAATAAACCAGTGATATATGAATCTCTTACATGTCATTGTTCTTTCTGTATATTTGGTGTTTTGCTGCGTAGTGCACTGACACTAGACTTACAGCTTGTAGACCAGCTGATTGTCACCTTTTCTGCGCCTTTAAATTCCACCCACATTTTTTCATTTCGTGGCTGGTTTACAGAGCAGCTCTAATGGCTTGTGTATTTATTAGACAGGCTTTGAAAGAGCACCTACATGGTTTAAAGGCATGCGTACAGCAGCACAAAATTCATTACCCTGCACCACATGCTGACCATGATAATGCAGAAGCGTTATCCAGGGCATAACTTTTAGGGTTGTCTAAACAAAGTCTTCAGGTTTGGATTGCTGTTGGGTTGGGTTTTTCTACACTTAAAATCAAGTTTTGTGAAATCTTTGCTTGTGCAAGAGACTCTCGCTGTTAACTTAACTTGAACTCTGTCTTTATTATTTTAATGTTTTCTACAGCAATCACATGCTGGCTTTAAAGCCCCATTATCCAGATGCACACTTTGGTGTCTCATCTCTTGCAGGAGCAGGAATAGTTCGAATCCCAATGAGTTTTCTTAGCACCTCTGTGTCTTTCCAGAAGTATCATTTGTGTTTGCCTCTGTCCCTTTTCTAATCTATGCTGTCTTCTGTCCCACATATTTTTAGTACTTTATATTCACTGTGAAAGTTTTTGCCATAAGCAATTAGCTGTCCTGGCTGCTAGTATGGCAAGTTTGACAATTCAGATGATACTTCTCTCACTGACAATAACTGTCTGCATGAGGTTCTGTACCATCTTCTGAAAGCTTTTCTTTCTGAGGAAAAGTGATTTCCTTGAAAGATGGGGGATCGTGGTGAAATTTTTTACAGTGTGGCTAATCAAAATCAGGATTTATCTTTCATTTTGCATTATAGCTGCTTAAAATACAGCAGCAGGTTTCATGGAACTCTAGAACAGTCTGAAATAAGTCCTAGACTTTAATTTTTCACTTGCTGCCGTAAGTAGTTTTAAACATTCTTTTAGAATGTAACAGAATTCCGAGTTAAAAATAGGGCTGGCAACAGATCAGAAGTGGGCTGAAACTTTTCAGCTTTTTAAGGGGTCATGAGATAGCGGTACTGCCCTGATGAACTTCATTATGCCACGTGAATATAAAATATTCATATAAAGGGAGATTTGCAAAGGCATAAAGAAAAGGGACCTATTTTTTTGAAATGTGTACATTTTTGTATTAAAATAATTTTATGATTGAATCTTGAAATATATGTGAATTACCTAATATTACAGATCAAATCCGATTCCTGATAGTTGTATTGTGCACACATTTAGAGCTTTTACAATGTCATATCTTAGCCTCTGTTATGCATTTATAGTTGGAGAGGGGAATAATGGATATTTAAGGTGTTGACAGATCAAGGCCTAAATTCTAGGTGTTGGGAACAGCAAGTTTAGGAGTTGATGGGTTTATCAGGACAAGTTGTTATAATTGTTTTACACGTGAACAAGACCATTTTTTTCACCAGGTATCTGCAGTTCTTAGCATGTCCCCTCATGTATAAAGTCATCTGTCAGTAAAAGCAGAGCTGATTAGCTTTATAATTTACAGTTAACTAAATCTGTCAAGAAAATGGTCTTATTGTCCAGCTTGTCTTTTTGTAATGAAGCTGTGGATGTGGGTTAGCAACAGTGTGTTCACCCTTCTGGAGGTCATGGAGGATAGAAGGTACTAATGCATTCTAAGCTGAAAAGCTCACGCTTGACCTTGATGATTAAAGTTTTTCTTATCATCTAGCAGCAGTTGAGCCTGAATTGTCTCTTAAGAAGTCAAAAGGTCTAATCAGCCTAACGAACAAACTCAATCATTAGTACTTTGGGGAAAGAAGTGCGGTAACACTATAATAATACTGGGCTCTCCGAGCTGCAATATGTGTGTTTATAGGAATGGTACATAGCTTGATTTCAGAGGAGAAGCTGGTGTCATTGTGCTGGTTGTACAGTAGAGTAGAGGAAACTTCTCTCTGGTGAGGCATAGCTCTTTCCATAATGTTCATAGTCTTCTCTGGCCATGAGAGAAATTTTGTGGTCTTGTAGATTATAGGAAGGGTTGCTTGTTTGCTTTACGGTGTTTTGCAAGTGAGGATTAAATCAAAACTAAACCTTCCTCTGGTGAACTTCTCTGCTCATGGTCTAATCTACACTTTTCTTCATGTATTCCTCCCAGCTCTTTTCACACTCCAGATTGTGTCTATGTCAGGCAAATATTTTTCAGGCTTCCTTTGTTACATTCTGGTAGCTGAATTTGATGGGAAAGCCTTTTTCATACTGGTCAAGTAGATGTTACACCCTGTTGTTTGTTGTACTGTTGCCTGGGCCTCACTTGGAAAGTGTCTGTCGCTACAATTTCTGTAAGAACAGATGCATTTGCAATCTCCTAAGATTTTCTCTTACTAATTGTAGTGACCTGTAGTATCTGGACTTTTCCTTCCTGTTATCCGAGTGAGATTTTAAACGACTCTCAAGTGGGATGGCAATAGCCGAATGCAATATATTAAGTTCTTGCATGGGGAGCTTATATTAGTCCAAATTGTGAGTGCCATCTCAAAATCAATGAATGCCTTTTTCCATTTGCCACGTTACCTCTTGCTCAAAGTCTTGTTTTGACACTTCCATGTCATGCAGAAGTCCTGTCCCTTTCTGCCATCTACTAGCATGAGTACATGATCAGCCATTAGTCATTTAAAAGCATTAAACATTTCAGACTATATATACCTTGATTTTTGAGACAACCTTTGTTGTGGCAGTAGTCACTGTGTCATGGAAACTATCCCCAGTGTCCTGTATAGGAGGCACATACCAGCCAGAATTGTTTTTCCAAATGTTTTCCCTTTGTTTACTTTGAAGCAAAGTGTCTTACGATTCTTCATCCTGATGAGAACAAATCTATGGGGCAGGGGGGAAATGGTTTTTCCCACTCATGCTTCTTGCCTGGAAACACTGTAGTGATTTTGTTTTTCCCTGTAAATACCTGCTAGAGTAAATCAAAGACAGGTTATTATCTTTAATGATCCTGAAACTGGAATTGTCACATAAGAAACCTGCTTTCTTTTCCATTAAAAACTGAGATAACTGTACTGTTTACTTAAAATGGCGAGGTTGGTTATGTCAAAGGACAGGCAAACTGTGATGACACTCAGATTTCGTAAAATCCATAGATTTCCCTAACATAGTTTTGAGGATTTAGTATCCTTTTAGTGTGAATTAGGTGTTAGAAGTCCTGGGGCCACATGGTGGTTTTCAACATAAATTGGTGGGGAAAAACCAGTATAGTATGCTGAAGCAGTGCTGTGACATGGGCGTTTTTTGAGCACACTCATTTTAGTGGCCCTGTTATCCTGACTTTTACACAGCCAATGGTAAAGAAGATTGCCAATATAAAAAGCTTTCAGAAATTACATGATACCACCCTTTTAAAAGGGGTGCTATAAGATTTTTTGCTATTTAGTGTTGATTTTGAATACTCAACTGATGAAGAGTCCAAATATGTTTTAATACGAGTATGAAAAAGCCTCTGTATTAATTATACAGCAATTTAGTTTTACCATTCTTTGTTACTTTCTTGGGTTTAATTGAAAAAATACATTTGCTTGCTGCATTAAGTATTTGTAGATTTAAGTGTGGAAGAAATTTTTGCCCTTATGGCAGATGCACAGCAGACTTCAGCATTAACATAACTCATTAAAATAAGATAAAAGTGGAGCTGCAAAACAATTTCTGTCTTTTGCCAACAAGGTTGTGAAAAAGGGAAATTTCATTCATTCAGTATATGAAAGTCTACTCCTTCTGAACTGTGGAGAGAACAGAGTAGACATTTCTGACTTGTTTGTGCAGGTTAACTGGCTGGATCTACTGAGCTAGATAAGCAGAATACACAAAATTCATATGCCTGTATGTCATATTTTGGGGACATTAAGTAAAATTACCTTTTTAGATGATGAAAGTTCCTTCACCAGCATTAGCAAAATGTGAATTAAGCAAATGTAATTTATTTTGATTATATGCAATTTGCTGGTTTCCAACCTGTTTCTCAGTCACATCATTGAAGCCTGGAAATGAGCTACAGTTTACTCAGTGTTATGTAGGGCCTACTTTATTTATCTATTTATTTTGAAAAGGAAGTAGATAAAATGAAGACAATAGATTCAAATGGATTCAGAAAAAGTTTTTTCAGTGTTTAATGCTTTGAAACTCTACAGGGTGAACCCATCACTTTTTGTGAAGAAACATTTGTGTCCCATCGTTCTGCTGTCATGAGGCAGTTTCTTCAGAATGCCATTCAGCTCCAGCTCTTTAAGCAGGTACTGGCTTAATTGCTCTAATGTAGAAGCAGATTCTTTAACAATACAACTGTTTTTTTTTTTTTTCTTTAAGGACTGTTCTATATTCCTTGATCTGTCAGCCATATAATGAGGAAAATTTATGTAGTTGGCAGCACCTTAATTCCTGCCTGCTGGCTTTTCTCAGATTCAGGTGGTAAGGCTTTCTGTATTTTCAGAGGTGTATGGTTTTTCCCCTAAAGGTTTCTGGGCTCAGTTTTGATCTGAGTGTACCTAGACCCGAGCTTTGTGCAGAAAGCACGTTACTGTTAAACGTGATATTACTGCTTCAGGGAAGCTGAAAAACATATATGTATAGACAAACATATGAATGCTGGTTTGGTTTTTTTTTTTTTTTTAGGGAAGCAGCACACCTTTTTGCATTGTTAAACATTTTGCCAGCTTTGGTTATATTTTCATTCTATTTAAAATCCCTTCCTGATAAGAACATTGGGGTTGTTCTAGCAAATGCAGAATAAAGTCTTTCTGAAAAGATAAAGGATGGGATGGTTGATTTGTTTACACTCTCTTTTAATGCTGACGTAGTTCATTGATGGCCGTCTGGATCTTCTTAACTCTGGAGAGGGCTTCAGTGATGTTTTTGAAGAAGAGATAAATATGGGAGAATATGCAGGTAAGGAATGTAGTATTTTAAAGTAATTTCAGACATTGTTCTTGACTTACTGTTTCTGGGCCATCATGAGGTATTGCATCATTGCGGTTACTCACCTAAACAACTGAGGCTGCAATGATCCCTGTAGGTTGAAGTGTCTTGATTTTTTGTTCTTTCTTCTGTCAGGAGTTTTGAGTAATGTCTTGTAGTTTGAATAAAGTCTGCTCAGTCTTGCAAGACCTCAGCTTTACCACTTGGCTAAAGTACAACTAAAAGAGTTCTTGCAATGGAGGATACTGAAAAACCTTGGCTTTACCCAGAACCACCTTAAATTTCTTTTTGCTATCTTTAAAAAAAAAAAAACCTCAATGCTTTCGAATTTCTGAAAGACAACCCCAATAAAATAGAAATGTCTCAGGAAGTAAAAGAAAAATTGTAGATATCTTGTCAATTTTTGGTGATTGTGTTTCCATTAAAAGAAAAGGATGGTTGTCCTGTTCTGTTGCTGTACTGTTCATGCTCTGAGAACCACTGTGTGCTAACACTTCACATTTCTAGCTTGCTTTCTATTTCATAGTGTTACAGTTTGTTTTTGTGATTCTCTCTAGGTAGCGACAAATTGTACCACCAGTGGCTCTCTACAGTAAGGGTAAGAACACAACATTCTTCCAACAGACATACTAATTCTTACTGGACCATTGTACAGTTCTGTATGGCAGTTAACTTCTGTCCTCATGAACATGACTAATTATTTCCTGCAATGTTTAGCTCTGACCAACGTGTGTTTAGTTGTGAGAAACTAAGGTGCTCTGAGGTGAAGTAAAGAACAGAAGAAAAAATACACCAAAAAAAAATAAAAAATCACCATAGGAATTCTCAAGTTTTTGAATCCCACTTTTAATGTCTTGGAGACAGCTGGAAGTAAGTTATTGTCATTTTAGAAAACAATTTGCTTTTTCTTTCCTTTCAATAGAGGGAGAGAAAAGGGAAAGTTGCCACACCAAAAAGCGCTTTGTAAAGCTAAATGGTGTGAAGTGCTGAATGGGGACAGCACTGTTTGGGATGTTTTTTTCTATCTCTTTGGTTAAGTGATCTCGTTGTATAAATTGAAAATTTAAATACTTTTAGAGAATAATAATGTTATTATAGCTGATTGTAAAAGTCTCTTTTGATGCATAAAATGCGTATTGAAAAGTAAAATATTTCTGGTTTATGGTTATGAGTCAGTAGGAAAGATTGATTTGTTTTCTGACAGAATTGAGTTTTGCAGCATTGCATTTGTCTGCTGTCCTAAATGTGAATGGAATTATGTTCCTTACACAAATGCTGGGCTCAATTTTGTCTTGATAATTTGGCATTAAACATCTGATAACAGTAATTTTAAAAATCCCATCATATATTTAGGTAGTTAAATATGTATATATAAAAATATAAATAAGTAGGATGACAAGTAATTTTAAAATTATAAGAAAGGGGAATGGCTGAGTGTGAATATAAAAAATACATGTAATTAAACGTAACAGTTTATAATGTTTGTTAAAGTCTAATTGTCATGTAGTAACAGAAGTAGTAAATATTAGAACTGTTTGCATCTGATTGCATTTAACCTCTGGAAATATATTTTTGCACTGAAATAAGAAAATATAAAATTATCTAAGATTTTATTCCTTGGATTTTACCCATCTCCTGTATTTATCAGACAAGGTACTGACTGTACAGCCATAGTCATAAACACCAACTGGACTAACAGATTATTCTGTCTGACATATTACTGTCTTATGACTTTTATTATGTTAACCACACGCAATTCGGCTTTTCTAGAATTAATGTTTATGTCTGTAGTTAGATTTCATTTTCCCTCAATTTATCCCTTTATCAACTACATAGATCTTAAAAAGGCAGCATGCTTTTGATAAATAGTATTGTGGAACTGTGAAAAGGAAAATAAAAAAAGATTTTGCTTCATCAGATTGGATGTACAGGCTCTCCTGAAACTGAATTTTCTACCCCAGACATTGAGTATTTGTTAGGATACTTTTGTCTTAAACTTGTTTAGGATTTTAATGCAATGCACAGGACACCCTTGAGGGCGAATGGGACAGTCATAGAACAGTGTTTTGTGAGATGACCTGTAAGACAAGGGCTCTTGGTATTAGGAGAAACTGACATTTTTTCATTTGAAAACTGCTGTATTAAACAGAATTGGGGTTCCTCTGGAACCATTTTAATAATCACCTCTGCTAATAAGCATAGTTAGTGCTTTGTTATTTTAAGAATGGTGGATTTTAGATAGCGGTTTGCTCTAAAGAGCTTTGATAAAATTTATTCTATTGTTACTATAATTATAGAAAGGAAGTGGAGCCATTTTAAATACAGTAAAGACCAAGGCTAACCCTGCCATGAAGACTGTCTATAAGTTTGTAAGTATCAAGTACTGGCTTACTACTGAGATAAGAGTCTAATTATGATTCTGTTTTAACCTTTCAAATGAAACTCAAGACTTATATTCATCTTATTGGACTCACAAAATTACTTAAAATACGCATTCATCTAAATTTCAAATTTAAATGGAAAAGCCATTTTGAAATTTAAACATAATGGAAATGCAAAGGAGAAGGGAAACTTGTGATTTCTTTTGAAAGGACAGATGATAAATTCTATTTATTACATAGAACTATTTCTGGGAAATAGCGCCTATATACTCTACTAAGCAGCTCTACCATCTCATCATTACTCTGCTGGAAATCATTGTTACCTCAGGTTTCTCTGCTTGCAGCTTCATCGAAATAAGGGAATCCTCTCATTTTCCAAAGTGTTTCCATCTTTTCTAAATGTCAATTAATTTTCCCTAGAGATTTTTTATACCTGCTTATTTAGACCCCAACTTACTGAGTTATTCTTTAAATGAAAATGTTTTCAGTTCTGTTAACAAACAGCTATGTTACTGTGTTATCATGTATGGCTGCCAGCTTCCCTGTGCAAGATAAAACAGCATAGAAACAAGCAAGGATTTCTTATAAGCTCAATGTTAGGAAGTAAATATTGCTAACAAAGGCATTGAGATAACTATTCAAATTTTTAATTACTCCTGCCTTCCTCCAGCCTGAGAGAGATGAGTAGGGTGAGATTAGCTCTACTAAATGGAACTGGCACTCAGGCTACTACAAGGAGAAAGTTTGCAGGCTTACTATTGCTGAGGATTGTTAACTTATAGCAAAGATAAATACTTAGAGGGGAAGAAGGGTGTGGAATGCAAAAAGGTGAAAGATGTCTATGGCATCAAAACAGAGAAAACAAAATTTTTGCAATGAGTGTGGGAGGGTGGTGTTGGCGATGCTTTTTGTTTGTTTGGGGTCGTCTTAGCTTTCTGCTTGTTTCAATATGTTCTCAGTATCCTGTTACAATTTTTTCCTTGCCATTTTTAGTAACTAGGGAAGGTGAATCTTGATGCACTGAAATCAAGCTTAGTCACTGCTGGAAATAGAAGGGGATTTTAACTTAAATTAATTTTTCATGCAGGCAAAAGATCATGCAAAAATGGGAATAAAAGAAGTGAAAAACCGCTTGAAGCAAAAGGTACTTGAAGTTCTTATTCAAAATGTATAAGCACCATGTATGAAATACTTAGCCACAAAAAGCATTATGTGATCAATAGGAAGCTGTTTGATACAGTGTTGTTAGCACACTTCAAAATGCATTACCAGCTGTCCCGGATTTTTCACACTGTTATAAATATTCACAGACGCAAAAAAAAAAAAAAAAAAGTCTTCAAATACATTAAGGCTCTGACTTAAACCCACAAAAGCCAGAAAATTGAGTGTTCTATTTGGAGTGGTCCCTCTCCTGTCCTTTCTGCCGGGGCATTGTGGAAGGGGACTTTATATGAACTTGAAGATCTTTCCTACAGTAATGGCAGTGAACTTTTTGTAAATGGCAAATTGTTGTTATTTCTACAGTAATCTCTCAGGGAAAATAGTATAGTGTCTGTCATTGGGAAATGGATTTACATGTTTCCTGGGTGTCTACTGAAACGTTTTCGGCATAAAGGAATTAAATTAAAATTGGTGTTCATTTCAAATTTCAACTATTGCAGAAAAAAAATACTCAGAGTATATGTTGTTTACCAAATCTGTCTTTGTTTGTTTGTAAACAGTACAATTCCAAGAATGCTGAACTGTGTTCGAAGAATGTGTTATCCAAAACCAATTGCTCCTTTTAAGCCAGAAGTATGGTTATATTGATACATACCTTATGAATGAATGGTTAACTCTGCCTTGGGTTTATTTCAGATATTCTATTTATTCTGTGAAGCAGAGCTATTAGAGTCTTTTGGAAAGCAAGATAGCTAACCTGATAATAAAACTCGTAAAAAAAAAAAGAAGTTTATATTCAGAAATTTGTATTCAATTCATTGCATGATTATTTTTGTTTTTTCTTTAATTGTGTTATCTTAGTAAATTTCTTCTCTAAATTTCTAGACCATCATCTTAAGATGCAAATGTATAATGTATAATATTTGTGCTGCAAATGTATTCCTATGGCGCAAACAGACATGTCAACAAAATGCTCATACAAAGGGATTATTGTGCAGCCAGGTTATGAATTGATGAAATTAACTGTGTGTACAATCCAAATGCTGCTTGCTCTCTAAATACTCTAAATACATTGCTAGAGATTTTTGAGGAAGATGAAGTTGCTTCAGATGTTTTAATGCTGTTTTATGTTATTACACTTACTACATCATATGTGACCACTTTATATATAATACGAAAATATTAGAAACATGAAGCAGTTTCCTTGTACATGGAATTTTTTGTGTAATTCCACGTGTTTCACTTTTGGACATAACCTTCATGAATAATAAGATGTTTGGCCTTCTTACATGCATTTGTAAAGCAGCTGGAGCTGTGTAAAATGACCAGATTGTTTTCCTGTATTTTAAATTCTAATATAATTGTATGCTATGCTGTGACATTTGTTTAAAAGGCTGAGAAACATCTCATTCATTCATTGCTTTGTTTTATTATTTTTGTTGTCTTCCTAGTCCTTCAAGCATCAAGCATTCGTTTTCAAAAACACACATAACATTTATAAATAAATGGCCCAATTTTGTTTCGCCTTCCTTATTATGTGGCATTTCTGTAAGATTTTTAAACGTGATTGTTCAACATACGCTTTTACAAGACCTTAAAAGATTTCTGAGTAGTTGACACGTGCAGCTCTACCTCTCCTTTCTTCATTAAGTCAGTTCTTTTCCATCACATCCTCTTCTCCATTTTGAATGCAAGGTAGGAAGATAACTCTGAAATGAGGTATTGTTCTGTTTAAAGTGATAAAAATAGGAAAAGATGTTTTGGCCACCGTTGTTTTTAATCTAAATGTCTGTGCTGCTCTGTTGACAAGTCTATTAGTGCATTCTCACCAATTTTCATGTGAGAACATTGTATTTTTCATGTGTTTACTTACTAGTATGAGCAAGTGTTAACTGTTTGAAATGCTGGCATCATTAAATATTTAATTTTTGCCAAATTTGGGATGCTAGTCTTTCATCTTTTAAGGATAACCTAAGGTTATTTTTAAACTGAACTTAGTATCCACTGCATTTTAACATATTATTTTCCATTATTAATACAAAAAGTATGCAGGCCACTGGTAAGGAGAAGTCAAATATAAACATCCCATTTCCAGTTTTCGCTGCCAAATATGAGCAGCTTCTGTGCAAGATAGAATTTAAAAATGCAATAAAGCTAGAGGTCTGCTTCCTACAACTCTGCATAGCAATGGTGACCTCTTAAATATAATCAAGAGCCCATTTTGCCCTTGGTCTGCTCCAGTCTTGGGTTTGAATTGCAAATGAGAAATGCAGGATTGACCTGTTGAGAGGTCACTGTGGTGTGTGTAAGGTCCTTCTTTAATATGATAGTAGAGATTGAATGGGGCTCTATTTCCATCCCTTGTTCATTTGTGGTACCGTATTTCAAAGCAACAGAAATAGTTTTCAGAGGATTCTTATGAGTGATAGCAAATAATTGTTAATAGAAACAGCATGGAAGCTTTATTTTATATCTGATACAGTACTTCTTTTTCTTTTTCTTCCTTTTTCCCTTTTTTTTTTTTTTTTTTTTTTTTTTTTTTTTTTTTTTTGTAAAGGCTGCTTTTTCCATTTCACAAATGGACCGTGGTGGTCAAGTCACTCCGTTATTGGCTCGTTTGAAGCTTAACTACATAGAATTAGGAAGAAGGAGGAATATGAATGGTACCATCCTCAACTTTCAGTAAGGAGAATGTAACTTACTGAAAGCTTCTGGATAAGACAATTTATATAAATGGTTGGGCACTTGGCATTAGTGTATTCAACATTATTTTACTTACTAGAGCCCTGTGTGTCTCTAGTTAATGTCTGCTATCAATGGGCTATTGTCAGTGCTTTATTATCAATACAGCTAGAAACAACTCATTTAGAAGTTTATAAAACAACCTGAAGAATCCTTCTAAACATTCTGGAATGTGTTTTCTTCTCTTCTAATAGAGAGTATCACAAAAGGTCCCTAGAATATTACTAATGCATATTTAAACAGAAGAAAGCCTTATTCAGTTTACACAGTAAACTTCACATATCTCTAAATATATATCTTACTCATTTTCTGAAGTTCTTCCTTTAAAACATATAAGTAGTTAAGATTTCACCTGTACAGATAGTTGTTAGGGGAGGCACTGTTTGTGGGGATAATTATGGAGTGTGATAGGTCATGGTCATTCTCTTTTTCCATTAAGCTATAAAGTATCTTTTTTCGTCAGGTGAAAGGTGGTTTTGTTTATAATAATAGCCTTAAATTACACTTTTTTTCATTTAAAAGTCATTGGAGACGTTCCTAGATTTTTGCATTTCTGGAGAATTTCTTCCAGTAATGAGTAACTTATCACCTTCTGCTCTTTTCTGGTTTTTGGGAGGTATAGGTCTCACGTGTTTTGTTATTCCTGAATAATATATATAGCTGAAGGTACTTCAGGAATGTCTTGCTGGCTTATACCAAATCCTTTTTCTGGGGACATGTCAGAACTGAATAGTCAGACTTCGGACATACCTACGGGGTGTGGTGCCCTGCAGTGCAAAGAGCTGCTCGTGCGCACGCTGCACGGCTTCAGGTGGAAGTACCGGCGCCAGGCTCGGAAGCAGCGTGGAAGTACGAGACAGCGTTCGGGCTGGTAAATCCTCTCCCTCAGTGGGATGCGCAGGCCTACCTGGCTTTTCTTTTAGTACCAGGAGTGGGCACTGCTTTTTGAAGGCCTGCCTGCACTATGATCCACTGTCGTTCTTTGGTCATTTGTAGTTCGCAAGCTGAAGAACTGCTTTTATCAGTAGACAGTTTGTGAGCCCTGATACCTTTCTGAAGCTGAAGTTCAGAATCTGAGAGTCCTGTTTTCCTATTTGTGGTTTTATCTCTCTGTCTGTCTTGTACTCCCCACTGACTTCTGAATAACTGTATTCAAAGTCTGTTAGTGGACTGAATGTATGTCACAGACTGCTTTGAAGGACTGTTGTCTACTTTCCAATTATAGAATTGCCAAACGCTTTGACATTTAATCATTTTAAAGCTACTTGGAACCCTTACTTGGGGTGTTTAAAATTAGGTTTCTCAGTCTATTTAGCTCAGGTATGTTTTCATGGAAGGTAGAAAGAGAACTTTTGTGAAGCAAATTTTGCTTTGATGACTGAAGCTATATTGTTGATTTGTCTGCCTTTTTGGGATTTTGAAAACATAGAGAGATATCAAACAATTTAGTTCTCATATTTTATTCAGTAAATTTAAAAAAAATATGTAATTTTTAATTGAAATCTGCAGCAGTTTCTTTGGAAGTCTGTACACTGAACACAGTGGAAAGATGCTTTAGGAACACGTTATCTTTTGCACACAATTATATCATCAGAGAAGTACAGCAAATCTATAGCAATAAAAGCTGCAAGGATTTGCAGTGATCGTTACACATCTTAGGGGGTTTTGCTTAATGGCTTGATCTGTCTGTATCTTTTATCTCCTCCCATTCCCTTGATGTCCAAACCTTTGCATCCGGTTTACATTTTTCTGGAAACTTTGCCCGGATTGGAAGATGCTTTGCTTTCCATTGATTCCCTGCTGTCTGTTGCCTTGGTTGGAGCCGTGGCTCCAGGTGGAACTCTGAAAGCTCGGAAGTGCTGGGAACGTCCACTGTTCAGTGCAGGTCAGGTGGCTTTGAATGTTCTCGGCACCTTTATGGCATATACATAGCAAGTCTGAAGCCCGGTGCGCATTTAATATGGCTATACTTGTATAGAAATATGTATATGAAGTTTGTATTTAATGTCATTGCATTTCAGAACAGTAGATGTTGCTGCCGTGGGTTATGCCATTTCCAAACTGAGCAGATCCCTTGGTACCATCTTGCTGTTTTGGAGCTGAAGTACGAGTTTGGCAGAAGCTTACATTTCTTGTCATTGAGTTGTTTTGGGGCTCTTTGTTGCTAATTCAGTGTACTTTGTTGTATTTTTTTAAAGACAAGGTAGCATTGTGCAGCTGGAGGATTGAGGGAAGGAAAAAGTTTTTCTCTCTAGTTTGATGGTAACAAGTTGTTAATTTCCCCGTGATCCGTATGCCCGTATTGGCGAACCACTGCTCTACCAGCTGGATCTAAAAAGGTCTCTCTGCTTCTCTGTGGAGCAGACAAAGCCCCTTAGAAAGTCCATCCAGCTTTTTGTTTCATTTGACCTAAACACATTAGGTCAGTCTGTGTCCAAAAGAACCATTTCTAATTGGCCATCAGCTTACATGTCTCATTATTGTACCTTAGCAAGACGGAAACTTGAGGGGGCATGTCAAAGGTCAGTGAATCAAAGCAATGTCTGTGTCAGCAGCCAACCTTAGGTCAGTCTTGCAGAGCTACAGTGTGTGCAGGTTTCTCTCTATATTTACCAAGCATTATTTCCTTGACATTGTTGCAAAGAGATGTAAGGTTTGGGGCCCACTGCGTTACAGACTATTTCTCAACTGACTTTCAAACTCTTTTCTCCTTGTCTGATTCCTTGTGTCTGCATGCCTTTGTCTTTTTCAAAACCTACATTACAGATACCATACATACACTTGCCAGGTCCTCTAACCTAGGTTGATGGGTCACTTTACTTCTGAACGTGAGGACTAATGTCAAAAGCAAAAGCAGAGCAAAACAAAAAACCATTCTGCTGGGCAGCAGTTTGTTTTATACAGTCTCCTGAAGGCATATTCAGTATACACAGACTCAAAGATAAAATGCAAAGCTAACTAAGCTGTGAGTTTCATCTCTCCTTGCCACTTCCACAAGTAATTGTTCTGCTACAGATAATTCTTTGAAGTACGTAAATAGAATTACTCTTTTCATTTAGGTTTACATAAAGCAGAATAGCCCTGTTCTAGGTTGCTGTTGAATTTGTTCCTAGAATAGAAATTTTGAGCTATGGGGTTTTTTTTTCTCCCTATATATTTCCTGGCTTTTGCATGTTTAAGTCAGACATTTTATTGAATGTATCTGCATGCAACATTGGAATTAGGAGGAATGAGTGGTTGCATACAAGCTCTGATTGACAAAGTGCAATGAAACGTTTTATTCTAATGATGTTTTCTCTTTTGTACCTTGGTTTTTTTTTTTCCCCTAACATCAAAATTGTTAGTCAGCGTTATCCTGTAGTGTCTCCTTTGTGCCCCTTACCCTTGACCAAGAGTGTCCCTGGCCATGCTATTCACCTTTTCCTACCATACAGGACATTGCCGAGAATGGGTGTTCTGCAACAGCAGAGGAAGCTCTACCAAGGACGGCACCTTCGCCATTGGTTGAAAAGAAGGACCCTAAATTAAGAGAAGACAGAAGACCAATCACAGTGCATTTTGGTCAGGTATGTCTTAGTGTTAAGTTTCTTTAAATTGTGTGACTCAGCAAAAATAGTTCAGAGAAAAGTCACAATAATGAAAATACCAGTTGTTTTATTATTTTTTGGTAGCTGTTGTTATTTATTTCTGTCGTATCTGTTTAAATGGGATTGTAAAAGCTGATTTTTCTGGGTTTACTGATTTCTTTTGTTCATACCATGATTCTGAGGAAAATAAATTCTAAGTGAATGGGAGGGGAAGCATAATTATTATAGCAATTTTATGAACTATTTTGCTGTTCTTTTAGCATGCAAAGTGCTATAGCCCTCAGGACTGAGGATGTATAATTTAAAATGTCCTCTGTTATCTGGCCAGATCATTAGTGTCAATATGGAACATCCAACTATTAAAGCATTTTAACATTCTCTGAAAATTAAATGCGATGAACTAAGATGGAAAAATCAATTAATAGCTTATTAGTGTACTCAGTATTGACGACTGAGCTATACACATTAGTTACTCTTACAATGTTTCTTTTGATATGTCTGCAAAAGAGTGAGTTTGGTTGTGTGGGGTTTTTTAAGAGCTATTTATTTAGAAAATGTTGTAGTTGCTCTGATTTTCATGGAAAAACATACAGTATTTATTATCGGTTTGCCAGCATTCCCCTATTAAGTGTAGCCTGACTCAAGAAAGAACATTATTTGTGTTCACGGTTCTCTTTTCTTTCTCTGTACCTACTTTTTTACAGTATTATGATCAGAAAACAGGACTGATTTCTTCTAAGGAAACATAGTGTAATTTTAAAACAATTGTAAAATATGGGGAACTACAAAATAAGAAGCAAACCAGATTTTTAGATAAGTATTAATAGAAACTAGTCGGTATAGCTGGATTGACTGTTTAGGTGTTAGATAGGGCTACACAAATTATCATCATTGCTCAGAGCAATGTTGTCTCTATCATTTTAAAATTAGATTTGTTTCTTTCAGAACTTTCACCACTGTGCTAAATGTAAGTTCTTGGAGACTTTTTTTAAAACAGATTCTCTCCCAATTAAATATTTGCAGTAGTGATTTATTTTTCACTTACTTTCTGTGCCAATACAGTTGAGAGGAGTGGGGCTACTGGAGAAATGTTAGCCATCTAGCTCTAGCAGGAAAATGTTACATTTCATTTAAAGCAGTCAGAAATCCAGATAATATTATAATCTACTTTCAGTTTTTTCCTTTAGATTTTTATGAAGGATGGATGGTTCAAACATTTTGGTAGATTAATGAAATATATAATTAAGTGGAAAGTGCAAATTTAAATTCATGAGTTTTTTAACGGTGACTTTAAAATTTTTTAATGATCACTTTTTCTGTGTCAAAAGAAACACACATCAGCTTTACTGAACCACTGGCTGTGGTGAAAGGCTCGCTAGCTAAATGCTTATTACTGTCATTACATTATAAATGTCGGTTTCCAAAAAATGATCTAACTTAGCAGTTGTAGGGCTATCTCACTTAGAGCCTTTGTCCTTTCATGGGTCTTTTTTTCCTGAGTGCCCAATGCCAAAATGAAAATTAAATCATAGTTTCATTCAAAAGGAAAAGATGATCAGGTTTCTGAAATAGAAATTAAGGCTTTGGGGAGGAAAAAAGCAGCAACACTTACTGTTTAAATGGGAGATGGCTTCTAACTCGTGATTAAAGGGAGAGATTTTAGTGTCACTTTTAACTCTGTCTAGAATACAGTAGGTGGGAACAATTAAAAAGCCACAAGAACTCTGAAATAAGGGCTGTTTGTGCATTCACAGCTCTTATAAACTGAAGAGGATGAAAGAGGCTTTTTTCTCATTGTCACTTGCTTTCTATGTCTGCTAGTATTATGCTAGTGTATATGGCAAAGGCAGACTTTTTTAAAATGCATGCATGCGGATTAGGGTCAAGCCCTGTGTATCAGTAATGCAGTAAGGCTCGTCCATACCACTGCAGTGAGAGAGCCTACCAACAGCAGCGAGATGCTTTAATTGAGACATGCTGTCAAAGTGACAAACACATTTGCATACAGTCTATTTATTTTCGTTGGAAAGGTCTGCAGTCTGCTGTTGGTTGAACATTCTTAATCAGCTCGCTGTAAGTGAGCCGGCAGCTAGCTGTCCTATGCTAGGTGCTTCTCTTCATTACATGACAGATTAGCTAAAGGGGGATGGGCTAGCAAGCCAGCAGCAACCTTTAATTTTAACTCATTATCTCTCACCCTATAGTGAGGTAGTTTCAAGCTTTTCCATATACAGTTGTGTATCCGCAGTTGGTAGGCTACAAAAAACAACAGTAAAATATCTTGAAATGTCTTTGAATGTGTAGCACCTCAGCTGATTGTTTTCAAAAATTTAGCAGCAATTATCTAACTGTGTGAGGTTTTCATAGTGTTGTAGCTTATCTTGGCGAGTGGTTATCAGGCATTGTTTGAGAGGGTTGTTTATTATGGAATTGTTTTAACAGCGGTAATACTACGACATTGTGGGAAAGCTCCTCTTGATCCTGAAAAGAAGGATTTTAGCCAGATAACCAAGGGCAATGCAATAAAGATTTAAACAAAGTGTTCTTAATAAGACTACACAAGGAGACCAGAGTGGAAGGGCGTGACCACAGCCTATTCTCTGGTTTGACTTTGCATGCTTTTTGGTTTCTCAGGGTATATCTTTAATGATGACCCTCATATCAACCAACTAAAGGGACTATCATCATGGGCTCCGAGGCCGTACCACTGTACTCAACAAGTAGCAAGAGCAATACAGGCAACTAAGCTTTAATGAGTGGGGAGAAGAGGGAACAATTTTCAAGCCAAGAAAAAGATTCAAATGAATACTATGTAATACTGAATAATATTCTCTGTTTTGGGGAAAAGTAAGGTTAATTATAGTAGAAGATACAATGCTACAGTGAACATCCCTTGTGAATGTCTTATTATTGCTTGCTTCTTCCTGGCTTTTTATCTTAAAACCTGACCAAAACTTACTTAAAACGTCAGAACACATGCTGCATATTCACCCACCAGCTGCCAGGGCTGCCCTGGGGATCCTTCCTGCTGTGCCAGGCCGGGCAAGCGCTGAGCGCCCCCGGCCGCGGGGCCCGCGGGCTGGCACAGCCCGCACAGCTGACGCCGGACCGGCTCTTCGCAGCTTTTGCTTCCATGCACAGACTCCCACTTTTTGGGTAGAATGCACGTGTTTATCTTTGTCACCCTTGAGCTCTTTGGAGAATAAACACTACACTGTGTCATTGTGACTATTTTGAACACATTCCTTGTCCAAGCAAGCAGATATTAGGAGCTACTTTGGCAGGACCCACAGCTTGAAGCATTGAGGTCTGCTTTGATACTGGATGTGTTTGGTTTGGGTTGGTTTCTTTTGGTGGGGTGGAGGATGTTGTTTGGTTGTTGCTTTGGTTATGTTGTTTGGGGTTTCTTTAAATAATGTTTATTTTCTATTAATGGTTGCAGAAACTTTGGTTGATAAGTCTTATCATTTTATGTTCAAAATAAGAAAGAATGGCTGTTTGAATACAGACCTTTCTGTAGTATTTTTCAGATTCTGAATTTGCATTAGCAGTGCTTGAGTTGTGCGTTCCTGCTAGAAATTTTGTCTTCCCTCACTGAACTAGTGGTGGTGACGAGCTACAGTGATAAGGACGCTGGACAGAGCGTCATGTTAAGCAGCCTTAGATCTCTTCCACTTTGTGATTTTCATTAACTGATTGATCTGTATTGCAGTTCAGTTTTTTCTGATTTCAGAAGTATACTGTTTGAGGAATTTTTCATATGTCTACACCGTAAGTAAACATGACAATTTATAAGTTGCCTTTATGCTACAAAAAAAAAAAAGAAAAAGAAAAAAAAAAAAGAAAGAAAGAATAAGACGCTTAACATTTATTTTTGCAAGACTGAACTATCCTGTTAAGGTATTTCGGAGGTTTTGACTTTTTTTAAGTTTTTTGTGAGACAGAAGTCTCAAATATCTCATTCAAGTATTTGGGTAAGTGATATTTATACATGTCATGTGTTTTAGACAAAAAGCAAAGAGTCTGGGAAATTCAGACATCTCCTTAATGATGGTGATCGTATAGTTATTTCAAGTAACACAATCAGCTCTCCAGAGTATCTTGCTGAGTTTTTAATGAGGATCAGGCTTTCTCAGTTCTCTTACATGTATTTGTTTTCCCATTATCTAAAGCAAAAGATACAAAACAAAACTAAAACCATTATAATGTATGAATTTTCTAAGGGAGAAAGGTAGATTAAAACCCGAATCTGATATTTTAGAAGCTTTTCCCCTCCAGAAGACAGTGCTTAAGTATTAGGCCACTAGTATTCCAGCTGTGGCTATGATAAACACCTACAGTGTCTGTGTACCACAGCTAGGAGAAGAAATGCTGTATGATTTTCAGGGTTTTTGAGACTTTGCTTTTATGAGCGGACACCTTGACAGGTCCCTTTAACCACAGCAGTTGTGTGTCCTGGGGTGTGTTCATACAGCTCTATTGGAAACCCTACCCTCATACAGTCTGAGATTGTGTGTATCATACGGTCAAGCGTTTGGCAGAGTTGTAGCCCTCTTCTTGGGGAGTAAAGGGAGCACTTTATTTTCCCAAAAATACTTGTTTTTTACATGTCTTTCTCCTAATGGAGCTTCTGCTTCTATCCACACCGCTTCCCATCCCTCTACCCCTAATCAAGCCTTCACACTAGTCCTCTGAAATGTTGCACTGCTGCTTCTGCAGGAGCCTCCTTGTTCGTACGGGTTCCTTACCTGTGTCCAGTCCTCCCATCAGTCTTTGTGAGGTGGTGTAAGCACAAGAGGGGGTGAGCCTAGAGTCTTTAAAAACAAATCTTTACTTAGGAACATTCTTTTTCTGGAGCTTTTACACAGTCGGTAGCACAACTGATCTAGTACAATTAAAACCACAAATGATAAGCTGCCAGAAAGAGAATTTGTTGGGAAAGGGTATCATTTCATTAGAAGCAAGTTATACTGGCAGTT